GCTCGAGACGGACGGCTCGCTCGACACCGGGTGCCAAGTCGATAGCATCCACCCGGGCTGGCAGTCGAACGGCTTCATGGTGGGTCCGATCGCTACCAGCCTGATGATTGGCCACGTAGCTAGCGGCCTCGCCGATCCTGAACAGCAGACGGCCCTCAACAACTTGGCCGCAACAATCCAGACAATGTCCGTCACAGACTACTACAGTGGTTGTTGGGTAGCCATCGCTACCACCACTCTGAGCGGCGACCTTTCGTCTCTAGCACCGCTGGTTCGCTCGATGGGCGGGTCGTCGCCGCCGTTGGGCGAGGACGCGTCGCCTCCCCCGCCGCCGCCTCCGTCGCCTCCGCCTCAAGCGCTGTCATCGCCTCCACCTCCGCCGCCGCCATCGCCTTCACCGCCGTCGGGCACCCCGTCATTGCCTAGTCTGCCGCCGTCGCCATCGCCACCTGCGGGCTCCGAGCCACCTAGTCCCGCTCCACCGCCACCGCTAGTGCCGCAGCCAGATGAATACCAGGACCTGTTCACTTGCATCGCGGGCTGCTTTGTCGAGAGCGGCTTTTTGGAGGAGTCCGGCAACGCGAACGTCGATAGCGTCATCGCAGCACTAGCTGCCGCTGGAGTGGATCTGCAGGGGCTGACTGCGGGGGAGGAGGACTCGACGGATACGGAGCCCACGATCTCGAGGGCTGCTGCCATCGTCCTGGCCGCGGCCGGCGGGTTTGCCGTTGGCATCCTCTCTGCGCTGCTGGCGCTCTTCCTAGCTCGCAAGCTGTGTCCCCCGGCCGAGGCTGCTACTCGCAAGACCACGAGCTTCGACAAGACGGGGACGCGTGTGGCGGGGCATGTGTGACCTCTCTTTCAGGGGCCGAAAGAGAGGTGTGTACGTGAGCGGAGAGTCCATGCGCGCGCAGCACGCGGGGCATACCGGCTTGTACGCGTGCGGGCCCGCCCGGAGTGCCGGAGAGCGAGACAGTCCAAGGGGAGTGAGAGAGAGCGAGACCGAGACGGCAGACGCGCGACGGGGTCGTGTACCGTCGGGTCTCTATTTTAAGATGAGGTAAACAGCAATAGATCCGGCCCTCAAGCGGCCTAATCGATACCCGGCCCTCACGGAATTGGTCCCTCGTTGTACAGCAATCGATCCTTCACACTGCCCGCGCGCTGCCAAACTTGGGGTCGAGAATCGGTCCCCAGGTTACCTGTGGCGCGAAGCTGCGATATGTCTCCCGCCCTCGGCGCGCCGACCGCGCAGCGGCGGCAGACCACCCTCCGGTTCGAGGGGCGCCTGGGGCTGAGCGGGCTGCCTCCGCCAGAGTTTGGCTCGCCCACCGGCGGGCTGTCACCCTGCCACGGGTCGCAAGCCCTCTGCCGGCCGGAGCGCAGGCTGCGCAGGCTTCCAGCAATTGGTCCCTTGGCAAGTGCGAATCGGTCCCCCTGGCTCCAGGAACTGATCCGTCACTACACCCGGATCTATTGCTGTTTACCTCATCTTAAAATAGAGACCCGACGGTGTATGCACCGCGCTGCAGCTGCAGCGCCTGAGCGCGGTGCGCGCCCGTGATCTCGAAAAAAAAAAAATTGCTAGCTCAAAAAACCGGCACACCACTCTCCCTTCCTCTCTCGATCCTCTCTTGGAGCTCCAGAGTCCACACCCCCCTGCCCCGGGATCGCGTACAAGCTATGGCTACCGTAGGCCACACTAGCGTCGCTGGGGGTTCCCTGCCCTAGATGGGAAGCTGGCCGCTGATCCGAAGACCGACTGCACCAGGGCGCCTAGATATACTCGAGGTGAGCGAGGGTGAAGTTACGCCTTAAATGCCGGCCTCTCTACTGTGGACCTTACTCCGAGCTCGTTGGCTCCTCCTATTCCCCCACCCCCCCTCCCCCCCCACTCTCTCCGAGCAAGGGCGTGCGCTACGTCCCCAAGGGGGGGGGACGTGGGGGGGAGGTGTGGCGCTTAGGTTGTGGCGTTTGAGTTGTTGTGGGGCACCCAAACGGTTTCGGTTTTCCTCCTTGGTGCCCCGAGTAGAGCGCGATCTCCCCTGGAGTCTGTCGCGCCCGTTCTGTCTAAGCTCGAGGTTCAACCTTCCAGTTGATCCTTATCGGACTGGTGAGGTCTGCCTAGCCGTCGTAGTGTAGTGCCTGGGGTGCGTCTGCGTCGGTGCTACACACACTCGGCAGGACGCTGCTCTAGGTCGGTGCTGCTGGTCGTCGCTGTTTGTCAAGGTGATAAATCGTTTCTCTTTTGTGTCAACAAAATGACTCTCACAGTGACTTCTTTGTGTGGCCAAAAACATGTCCGAGATAAACCCGAACCCGGGCCTTTAGACAGAATGTTGGTCCCCGAACCACTAGACCATGAGCCTTACTTTGCTATCTCGCAATACATTTTCTTCAGCTTTTCTAGTATGATCTCGCCGTGGCAGCGGCGCGGGGCGCAAGCGCAGACCAGTCCTATGGCTTGGCCCTGGATCATGTGAGTAAGCATCTTGGAGAGTGTCTCTTGTCTCTTGTCCGGCGTGACTAGTGCCGATGATGCATGGACTAGGAGTGGCGGATTGTGGTCTGCTGCTACTGCCTCTGGTGCGCGTCGGCCTCCGAGCACCTGTCCGAATCCTTCGACCACGAGGTCTCTCTCGCTCTCCCCTCTCATCACAAAGGGGTTGCCTAGTGGAGACGGTCGCTGGATGTTAAACGGGATTAGGTGGCTCGGAAGAGGGTGGCGCTTGTGTAGCAGCATCACTAGGCCCTATGCGTTGTCGGCGGAGGTGGAGCCGCGGCGCTTCGCGTAGGCCTTTTCCGCTTCCTCCCGCTCTCGCTTCCGCTTCTCTCGCGCTTCGACGAGGCGGTTGCGCATGGCTGCCGTCTCCTCCGGGGACTTGTTTGCGGTCGAGGGGCCAGGTGGGGGGCCGCTGAGCGAGCGGCAGTCGCACCAAACTCGGCTCAAGTCCCCCACCAGCCCTTGTTGCTGCAGCTGCGTGATGTGGTGCGCGACGACGCCGTTGAACCTCGCGAATGGAGGCAGCTTGAGGCACCTATATTCCAGAGTGGTTTTCTTTTTCTGTGATTTCTTTTGTGCGGTCTGCTGCGACTCGTGCTTGGAGCAGAAGATGGACTCGCGGCGGGAGAAGAGGTCAAACTGCCAGGAGCGGCCGTCCTTGTCCGCCACGTGGATGCGGCCGTCCGCCTTGGTGATCGCGGGGAGGCCCTTGGGGTTGTGGATGAGGACGTCGTGCAGGGCGTCGAATTGGACCTGTTTGGTGGATTGGTGGAGCAGTCAAGGGCGGGAGGAAGGGTGGGGAAGAAGGGGGGTCTGTGCCTTGGTGTGGCACCCGAACAGCTTGGTGCCCGGGGCCGCGCCGTCGAGGCCTTTCGAGTACGGCATCATGATGCGGCCCGAGGCGAAGCAGACTTCCTGAATCGCGATCACGAGAGGGCGCGCCCAGACGTGCATGGGGACGTCGGGCGGGGGGGGCGGCGTGGGTGTGAAGCCCAGGAGCGTGTTGCTCGCCGCCGAGTGGCTCTCGTCGTGCTGCCACGCCATCGCGGGCTTGCCTCGGATGCCGGAAATGGGCTCGATGCGGATGGCCGCGCCGGAGGTCGTCTGGCAGTCCGCGCGCGGCTTGATCATGCAGATGGGATGCTGCATCGGGGGGGGGGGAAGGGGGGGATTCTGTCTTTGGTCGGTAGGGAAGAGTTGTGGGTGGGCCGCTATAGGGCCTTCGACTCGTCGTCCCGCTTGACCGTGATGTCAACATAGAAGCTCATCGCAGTGATGTTGAACGAGAATCCCTCGAAGGCCTTTTGGACCGCCTTCCGGACATCGATCTCGAGGGTCGTCCCCCGCGGCGCCTGGAAGAGGTTGCGCATGGTGCGCGTCATCTCGGCCTCGTCCACAGACTCGGCGAGGAGGGTCGACTGCGGCATAATCTCGACGCGGAAGTGGACCTTGTTCTTGTCCTTGGATTTGGTGACCTCCTTGGTCTTCTCCTTTAGCGCCATGGTGAGGTCGACCACATTCATCGTGATCTTGGCGCCGGGGGGTATGTTACACCGGTCGCCTGTGAGGGTCGTAGGACGGAGGGGGGGGGGGGGGGTGAGGGATATTTCTTTATTTGGGCAGGGGAGGGGTTTCTTCTCCGCACCGTCGAGGTAGGTGGCGACGAAGCCGTCGCTGATGGGCAGTGGGATGCCCGGCGACGCAAAGCGGGTCAGCATCGCGTCGAAGTCGACCATTTCGTCCGAGCTTGAGAGGTAGTAGGTGTTGCGGTTTTGGTGCAAGTTGAATTTTGCCCCCTCGTACTCCATGTCGAGCGTCATGCACTCCACAACGGTCCCCACGTGGGTGTTGTTCATGTGGGTCGTCTCGATCATCAGCGCCTTTTCCACGTACGGGAGGGACTCGCCCATCGCAGCCTGCATTCCCTATGGCAGAAATTCGCGGCTATATGAGCAGCTGTAGAGGTGGTTGTGCATGAGTTGGGTTCTATCGGTTCGAGGGGCTCTTGTTTTGTGGGGAGTCTCGGGTTCGGGTTGTGGGTGTCCTTCGCGGAGCGAACGCGTAGCGCGCGAGCGCACGCGCGTGCGTGTGCGGAGCGCGTGCCGTGCAGCAAGCGAGCGAGCGCAGCGCAGCGTCAGCGTCAGCGTCAGCTTCTGCGCTGCGCTGCGTCGCGAGTGCGCGCGTCGGATTTTGTGCTATGCTCTGTTGCGTGTGGTTGGTGGGCGCGTGTTCGCTCGTTTTGGCGCTGTTCTGAGTGCAGGTTTGGTCTCTGTGAGTGGCTGTGTATCAGTGTTTTGTCGACGCTTGTTGGGGCAGGCCGAGGGAGTGGCGGCGCGCGCCATAAAGGTGCCTGCCGGTTGAGGCGGTGGTGCCGGTTCGATCCGCACGCGCTTGCTCGGGGACTCGCTCCGGGAGTCGCTCATCGGCTGGTGGTTTAGGGCGACTAGACTTCGCACTGGCGCCGGAGGCCCCAGATATGAAGAAAAGTGTCTTTCTTATATTATAATGCCCGCAACCCACTGTATGGCCCGGTGTGAGGTTGCCGGAGTGCACTCCAAGTGCCACCGCTACGTAAGCGGGGAGGCAGAAGAGACACCTCTGTTTACGCATCGGAACGTAGTATATAGTACGGCAGCCTGTAGCTGTACACACGCGGCATCGCAAAAGGAGAGCTAGCGAGAGCTGCGCCTAGCCCCCGCCGAGGGGCGGCTCGTCGCCGTCGATCTCGGGAGTCGCCCCGCCGACCTCGCGGATGCGCGCCAGGAAGTTCACCTCGCGCAGCTGCCGCACGGACCGCACCGGCGCCTCCGCGAGGCGGGGCGAGGCGACCACCACCGCCAGGCACTGCGCGCGCGTGAGCGCCACGTTGAGCCGGTTCGGGTTCAGCACAAACGAGAGGCCGCGGCCGCCGCCGGCGGCGGCCGCCTCACCCTCGAGCCCGGCGTCCGCCGTGTCGGCGGCCGCGAAGTCGGAGTGACACAGGCTCAGCAGCACGACCGGCGCCTCCTGCCCCTGGAACCGATCCACCGTCCCGACGCGCGCCTTTGGGCCGAGCACCGAGCGCAGGAGGCGGACCTGCGCGTTGTACGGCGCGACGA